TGGCAATCTCTTTGGCGTGCTGGGGCGCCCTGGCGTCGCGATGCTGCGGCATGGTTGACAGCACCATGCTGCCATGGCGGGGGCGGCAGGGCACGGGAGAGGGAAGGAAGTTCAAGAGGGGGGGGGTGCTGTCGAGAGGAAAACGTTAAGAGCATGGAGTGGGGTTCGCGAAGAGTCAGCAGCAGAAGAATGGCATTAAGGACGGAAGCCTGGTGAGCGCACAGCAGCGGCAGCAGCGTGCGCAGCACAGCAAGGGAAGGGACAGAAGAGCTTGTACAAGCCATGTGAGTGCGCTGCTGCCATGCACCTGACAGATCGCACCTGACAGATCGCACCTGATGAATCGCAGGAGGAATACATAGAGCTGCACAGTGTTTCCCTCGCAGCGATACACGTCTGCCTGGGGGTGGCCGGGGAGGGCAGGGGAGGGCAGGGGAGGGCAGGGGAGGGCAGGAGAGGGCACGAGAGGGCAGGAGACGGCACGAGAGGGCAGGAGAGGGCAGGAGAGGGCACGAGAGGGCAGGAGAGGGCACGAGAGGGCAGGAGAGGGCAGGAGAGGGCAGAAGAGGGAAGGAGAGGGCAGGAGAGGGCAGGAGAGGGCAGGAAAGGGCAGGAGAGGGCAGAAGAGGGCAGGAGAGGGCACGAGAGGGCAGGAGAGGGCAGGAGAGGGCAGGAGAGGGCAGGAGAGGGCACGAGAGGGCAGGAGAGGGCAGGAGAGGGCAGGAGAGGGCAACAGAGGGCAGGAGAGGGCAGGAGAGGGCAGGAGAGGGCATGAGAGGGCAGGAGAGGGCAGGAGAGGGCAGGAGAGGGCAGGAGAGGGCACGAGAGGGCAGGAGAGGGCAGGAGAGGGCAGGAGAGGGCAGGAGAGGGCAGGAGAGGGCAGGAGAGGGCAGGAGAGGGCAGGAGAGGGCGGGGGAGCGGAATGAGGTGGATTTCTTGGCCACGACGCATTTGGAGGTGAGGGAGAGGAGGGAAGCAGGGGTGTCAAGGAAGCAGAAGAGGACGGGGGAGAAAAGAGCAGCAGTAAACGATAGATGGGCAGAGGCAGATGGGGGAGAACAGAGCAGCAGCAGAGGCGTGGATAAGCGGGGAGAGGTAAAGGCGAATGAGAAGGGAAAAGGGGAAGAAGGAGAGGGGAAAAAAGGAAGAACGAGAGGGGGAAAGAAGGCAGAAGAGGGGAAGGGGGAGTAGAGACGAGGACGAGGGGAAGCGGATGGGAGGGGATTGCAAGGAGCGAGGGGGCGAGCGACAGACCGCGCGTTTGAGGTTGTGTGCGAGGCGGAAGTAGCGCGTGACGGGCAGGTTGTTGTCCACCTCCACTGCCGCCGTCGCCGCCGCTATGTTGATGCCCGCTCCCCCCGACCCCCCCGACCCCCCCGTCCCCGCCGTCCGCGCCGTCCCCGCCGTCCCCCCCGCGCCTGCGCCTGCGCCTGCTCCTCGGCCCGCCATGCCCGCCGCCGGCAAGGCCTTCGCTCTTGGCGTCGCCTGCCGCTGTGGGTGCTGGACTAACCGCGGTGAGGGTATCCAATAAGAACCGTCACTGGCGGCAGCTGTTCAATATGCGCAGATGCGCAGATGCGCGGATGCGGATATGCGCGGATATGCACGGGTGCGCCCTAGTATGCTGGTATGCTTCCTCACAACGGCTGCTGCTTCCGCCGCGCCCGCCCTCGTGCCTGACTGGCACCTGGCGCTGCCCCCGGCGGACTCCGCAAGCTGCTCTTAGCGCCACTGCTGGTATCGCGCGGGCTGCGGCTCACCGCTTGTTGAATTCTCCGCGACGCGCCTGACACGAATCCCTGTTGAGCAGCATCAGCGCAAGCATTTCAGCGAGATAGCTGGTTTTGAAACCACCCAAACAGATGGTAACGACTTACAATTGGAACACAGGCAGACCTTTTCAGATCACTAATTTCGACTGCAAGTTGCTAGTATCGCATCGAGGGGATCTACCACCTTGCTGACAGTCTGCGACAGTTCGACACTATGCTGATGAGATGAGAGACCACCTTGAGAATTTCGAGGAATGCTTTTGGGAAAAAAAGGTTCACATGTGGTCCATCCATCCGTTCCTTCCACTTATCGAAATACCCAACACAAGGTGCAAGTAACGGTTTGGTTCGGTGTCAAGTGGTCTTGATTTATACCGTTCTTCACCTTGGTAATGAACCGGGTCGGGGCAATTGCCCCTTCCACACAAGTCAAAGCTCTTGCTATTCAGCGCGCCTTGCGCAGATTTGGACCAACCCCCTCCGAGGAGGTAGCACGCACCTTGACCCCGTTCCTCTTCGGGCTACACGGTCTGCTCTCTCATGACGCCATTCTTGAACGAGACTACATCCCCGCATTCATCCCCCCTCGGGCGTTGGACGAACTAAAAGCCCTCCTCTCACTCCCCTTGGTCGTACATGGCCCCCCCTTACGCATGCAATGCATCCTCACCGAACCAATCGCCTTCAACCGCGCAATCCTCAAACCCGACAAACGGCCTTTCGGCACCCGCCAACACGAGCGTTTCCTCCTTACAGGGCAATTCCGCATCGGACACATTGCCCGGATCACCAACTTTCATGTCGGCCCTATATCTGCAGCAGAATTATGCTCCCAACTCCCGAAGGAGTTCCACTCAGACGCAACACGCATTCTCCCCGAGCTTATCGAGGCTATTGAATCATCCTGGTGGGCAGCCCTCCGAACCCCACACGCCTCTTCTGCCTCCCCAGGAGACTAGTTCATGCTTTCGGAATACATTAACCCCGCCGCTCATCTCGCCCTCCAAGTCGTCTCCTTCGTTCCCCCCTCTTCCGTCTCGGTCACTATCCACCATGTTTCGCCAACCAAGCGCATCGCCCACACCCCAGCAGACACCGGACTTTTCCGCCTACAAGACCTCGTGGAGGTGCACGTCTGGGGTTGGTGGCTCGCAGGGCCACTTCACATTGGGGTTGGGCTAGGGGCTAGGGTAGGACTTCTGCAGGACGGCGTCCCCAGTATCGCCGCCATCCGCCGCCTCCTCTACTCAGCACAACCGCTAAACCACCACCTCCGATGGACCCGTGATCTCACCTCTCCTCCTCCCCCTCTCCCCGATCTCAAGCACGCGTTCCTCAGAGATCAGCCGAGCCGCCAGCGGGACATCCTGTTCAGGCTCTACACGCTCACCCTTCCCTCAGGGTCACGTTTCCAGTACTTCGATGACAGGGGGATATGTGCCGCCGTTGTCGAGACACTGCCGCATACATTCTTCGAATGCTCCTCTGCTGGCAACGTCATTTCGGCCCTCCGTACAGTAGCTGATCGCCACCTCGGACAAACTACCACCGTCGAGCACATCTTCTTCCCGATACAGACACGGGTGGGACAGTCCCCCCCATCGAGCCTACTAGTGGGAGCAGGAGTTAAGACACTATGGAAGGCACGCTGTGACCACAGGTACCACAATTCCTCTTCATCGAGTTTTGAGATCATGCTGCTGATTTTAGCCCAGTTCCTCATCGCCTTCAATATTTTTATGTGGAGAAGCCGACGCCAATCCTCCAAGAAGCGACAACGCACATCCTCCTGTATCAATCGAGCACAAAAGCTCCGATTCCTCCTCTTTGACAGACGCGGCATACAATCCATCCACCCCGACCTCAGATTCTCATGGCTCCTAGGCAATCCTTAACCCCCGTAGACAGCTACTGCATAGAGCGTCTCCCCAGGCTGTTGGTGGTTGTCCTTCAGGACAAGAAAAAAACGTGTGTTCCACGTGCTCCATATAGGATGCTGGCCATCTCGGCCATGTTTCTAGATAGCTCTATGAATTCCGCATTGTGTACATTGATTACGATCAATATATAACCTTAACCTTAACCTTGGTAATGAACCACTAAGAACGTTCAAGAGACACACGAATTGTTTACTCTAGGAAACAAACAAGCTCACACCTGGAATTGGAGGGAGATCCACAATTTTAGGGCAAGTCACGCTTGAGGTGTTTAGGGGGTGTTACGGCGTGTTGCAATTCGCGGTGTGAGAAACTGAACGAGAATGAATTGACTAAGGGAAAGTTGGGTACAAATGTAAACCCTAGAAAACTGTACCCCATATGTGCTACCCCACTATAGCCTACAGTAGCTATGTCATATAAATCTGACACACCCCCATAGGCAAAGTGGGGGAGAACAAGGGGTCACAAGACCAGTCAAGCAAAGCAAAGCAAGCTCAGGGTGGATCACAAAGTCACCACACATTCCGAGCACAAGTTCAAGGCCACAAGGCCAGTTCACATGCAGGATTACATATATATATAAGGCTAGACAAGCAAGAGCAGGTGTATATATATATATATGCAACAGTACAAACAAGGTCAAGGGATGAGCAAGTGAGGCAAGGTAGGCACAAGACCCAGCTGAGTACAGAAGCGCTGATGATCACAAGGCGCAAGTGCCTTGGTGAAGATATCAGCAGTGTTGGCCTGAGAGGCCACGTACGCAAGCCGCAGCTGACCACGCTGCTGTAGCTCACGAGCAAGGAAGTAGCGGAGAGCAATGTGCTTCGTTCTGTGCTCCAGTCTCTGCTCTCGACACAAGGCCAGCATGGCCTTGTTGACTACGTACAGCACTGGAGGAGAACGAGGCGGCTCTCCGAGGTCAGTCAGCAGGTAGGTGAGCCAGCGAAGCTCCTGTGCAGCCATGGCCCCGGCGTAGATCTCAGCCTCACAACTGGAGCCGAGAACAGAAGACGAGCGGGTAGCCCGCCACGAAACAGAGCCGGAACCAAGGCTGAAGGTGTAACCCTGTGACGACCGCTGCGTAGCCTGGTCGTCAGCCCAAGAAGCGTCTGCGTGCCCAGTGAGGACCACTGGACTCTGCCCTCCAAGCACAAGCCCCATGCCCGACGTACTGCACAAGTAACGCAACACCCTCTTCGCTGCAGCCATGTGCTCCGGTCTGTGTCTCCCAGGAGCAACATAGCGTGCGAGAATGCTAAGAGGGTATGCGAGGTCAGGTCGTGTGCAGGTCATCAGGTACATGAGGCAGCCAACAAGCTCTGGGTACGGGCCACTCGACTCTACGGACTCATCCGAAGGCAGAGCTGAGAGCGAGTGGCGAGTAGGCAGAGGAGTGGCCTGAGGCGAGGAGTACGTGAAGCCGAAGCGCTGAAGGACCTGCTGCACCATGTGTGACTGAGTCAGGGTAATAGTGCGGCGTGCTCTGTCCCGGGTGATCTGCAAGCCAAGGTAGCTGCGCAGTTCACCCAGGTCTGTGCACGTGTGTCTCTTCTGCAGCTCGGACTTCACGTGGGCGAGTCCAGCAGTGTCAGCTGTGGCAAAGACCAAGTCGTCGACGTACACGAGGATGTAGAACGGCGGCAAAGAAGTGTCGGTGCGCAGAAACAGCGACGGGTCGGCAGTAGAGGGAGCAAACCCAAGAGCCGCAAGTGTAGTCCTCAGTGTGTCGTGCCACTCACGCGGTGCCTGGCGGAGACCGTAGACTGGCCGCCGGAGGCTCCACTGGGTGCCAGGAGGAAAAGACCCAGTGAAGCCAGGTGGGCGACGCAGCCAGATCTCCTCGTGCAGGCTGCCCTGCAAGAAAGCAGTGCTGAAGTCAAGAGAGTGCAGCTCGTAGTCGCGGTGAGCAGCTATGTGCAGCAGTACCCGAAGAGTGGTCATCTTCGGGGTGGGAGAGAAGGTCTGAAAGTAGTCAACTCCCTGCCGCTGACTGAAGCCACGAGCCACGTAACGCGCCTTGAAGACAGGCGGAGAACCCGGCGGTCGCTTCACCCTGAAAATCCACATGCCACTGACGATGTTCGCCCCAGGTGGGGGAACCTCGTCAACGTAGGTGCCTGTGGACTTCCAGGAAGCCATCTCTGTGTCCATAGCTGCCTGCCACTGAGAGGAGTAGGGACCCTCTATCGCCTCCGCGTAAGAGCGCGGAGTCGGGATGTCAAGTGCATCCGGGTCTCCCTCAGGGGTAAGCAGTACGGACACGAGATGAGGTGAAGCAGCAGCCAAACACTGGAACTCCTCCTGCCTGTCCTCAAGGACGTCCGTGCCAAGGGCACACTCACCCCCGACGGACGGAGGACAGACATACTCAGACTCAACGACAAGACTAGCAGCGTAGTCTAGACGACAGCGAGCAGCAAAGTCGACGAGCTCAGCAACTAGGGCAGACGCAGCAGAGGACTCAAAGGAAGGGTCAGTGACGACAGTAGCAAGGAGACGCGTGACAGTAGGACTGGCAGCACGAAGAGAGTCCGACTCCGGGTCGGGAAGAGCAGGAAGAGAGGACTCAGGAGGAGAAGGCAAAGGGGCACGCAGAGGAGCAGTGGACGGACGCAGAGACATCCGGTGCGTGCCAGGGACAGGAGGAGGACGCTGACGCGAACCACGACCACTAGTGCGAGCAAGACGGACAGGCGACGCAGGGCGAGACGCAGGCTCACGACGCTCAGCCAGA